ATTAACCCTTTTTTGGCTTGCAACGAGAATAAAACAACACAAAGCAGAAATTTTTAATAATTTGTTAATAATAATATGTTAATAAAGGGTTTTATAACTAATACACTGTTACAACAACAAAATATAGTAAGGACACTGATACAAGAATTCAGTCTTTATTATATTAAGTGTATGATTCTAACATTTCTTCTATTTGCTTTATTAGGTATGGCTGCGTCATTCAACACACCAGCTGCTTTAACACCTGTTCAGGTATCGTAGCCACACCTGTATGCAATTATAATGCAATATAAAAGATTTTAATCAGTTATATAGTAGTCATTCAGCATGATTTGACTGCTGTATACATAGTTATAACTAATCAAGGCATATGAAAGGTTTAATAAAGAATAAAAAATATCTGCATAATTTAGTAGTTGAGATGTGAACAAAGTCAATCAGAGTGGTTTGATGGGAAATGGTTCATTGTAGAGTCCCAATGTAAACAACACAAATATAGCCATTGTATTTACTTTCCAAAACCACCAGTGAACCACCACCACACGTGTCCTCCGAGTTTTTATATTTAATGCTAAAGATGGTAAAATAGTGGAAAATCTGAAAAAAAGTTTTCTTTGCCTTATTATGCCCTGCATGCGCCCCACTGCCATGATTTAATTAAATATATATATATATATATATATATATATATATATACATATCTTTTAGGCCAAAACTATTCTAAAATCATAAAACAATGAACATCAGTCAGTGTATTCATAACCATTTCATGTAACAACTTTTTAAGAGGAAGCTTTTAGAGGTGGACATCTGGTTCTATCACCATCACTGTGAAAAATTCTGTTTCTCTAGAACGGAGCATTGCACACCAAACCACTTTTGAATGACTTTGTTTACATCTTAACCTTGTAATTATGCAGAAATTGTGAAAATCTGTGGAATTACCCTTTGGAATAAAATGTAAAAAGTTTGTGTATGGGGGGTCCTGAGGGTCTTTGCTGGGAAACACTGATTTTAGGTCAATGAGGCCAGAGCAAACAGTATAGTCTAAAGTAAAATCCCACAAGGAATCATTTAAAGGAGTCAAAACCATTTCCTGTTTGTTGATGTAGTGTGTTTGTTTTAAAGTTGCTGTGCCTAAGAAATAAACGTAATGTAAATATAGTCCTAGCACATTTTTCAGCTTGATAACTGTGGCTAAGCTTCCCTTCATTTAATGTTGGATAACAATGACTGATATCTTACACCGAATGTTATTAACCTGATTAATTATCTCCTAAAATTATTTTCTGTGTCAGATGTAGTGACTAATTAAGTACTAACCATCAAAGCCTTCTGTGTATGTGTACTTGCACTCTGTGGAGGTATAAAGATTTGTAAAGTTTATATTTAAGTTTTATTTCATTTAAGAAAGTGAAAATGAAACTGTGTTTGTAGACAAAGTAGATGTTCAAGTCTAAACATTTGAAAATATAGAAACAATAATAATAATTGTAATTAAAGCAGCATTGTAATTAAAAACTGAATTTTCTTCACTTTGATGAAGTAAAAGAGTTTGATGTTGCATGTAAACACTGTTGAAGCTTCAAAACATACTGTGCACTTCCAAGTCCTGACAGTTCATATATAGAAACTACACTGCAGCCTATTTTGAATTAATTTGTTTTTGTGATATCACACAAACCAGTGCATTCACGCGTCCACCTTATTAACCTACAGCAGTTTAGCCCCACCCACTCATGCTGAAGTTCTAGCAGGAGTGTTGAAGACCAGACTGTTTTTTTGAATGAGGCCCTGTAGAGGGCAGCCAATCAAAACAGAGCTTTATGCATTTATATATATATATATATATATATATATAATCAGTCTTAAAGGGATACTAACAAAATCAGCCTGTTTAATTCTGTTGGCTAAATATATAAACTCACCCAAATGTGATATGTGGCTCTTGGGTAATAAATAAAATATATGAAAAATGTAGGATATGGGTCCTTTAATATATATATTCACAAGATTTCTCATCTGTTATTGTATATTTGTGTCTGTGTTTGTAGGCAGAGAGTCACGGGGTAGAGTGGGTTGAGGCGCTGTATGATTTTACTGCTCAAGCAGAAGATGAGCTGCCGTTCGTGCAGGGTGATATGATCCTGGTGACGAAGCACCTGGACGCGGAGTGGTGTAGCGGGAGGCTAAATGGCAGAGAGGGAATTTTCCCCACCGCCTTCGTACGCACCTGCTCAGGTATGCTACACTGCTAAACACTAATATGAATTACATTCTTCTAACATACACTAATATTACCCAGTCCTTGTCTTTTTGTTCAGCTTCACAAAACTTTATCCCTGCTTTGTTTATTGTAAACAGGGACACTTATAATAATGACTTATTTATACTACACTTTAGTTTAAGGGTCTGTATCCTGTGTTTCTTCCTCTTGAGGACCACTTAAAATATATCTGTGGTTTTATGTATTAAACACGTACATTTTCTAGCCTCTCTTTATTCCTTAGAAATAAATAGGCTGTTATTTGTTACTGTGCCTTTAAGGCATATGAAAATGAACTCTAAACTGCAAAAACAGCCTTTGAATTCCTTGTTCTGTGATATCAAGTGAACTAAATTATTTACATACACCCATGTTTTCAGCCTACAGCAGTTTAGCTCCATCCATTTGGCATTCAGCAGTTTAGCCCCGTGCACTCATATTGAGGTTCTAGGGAGTATTTCGGCTCAGAGATAATTTTGAAAGAGGCAGCCAACCAGAACGGAGCTCATTGACATATATCAGTCTTAATGGCACAGAAACAGAAACAACCTGTTTAAGGAAGAAAGAGAGGTTTGAAAATTCATGTAAACATGAATAGGGACTGTTTTGGTACATAGAACCACACAAACTGTTCTAAGCAGACCTACAAGGGGAAAAAGTGTAGGATGTGGGCTCTTTAAAAAAAAGACCACGAAATGTCAAAAAGTCTGGCAATCAGAAATATCCAGCCAGCAGCGCATCAGTGGTTAGAAACCGACCACTGATGATCCATAAACGATGAACTTACACACAATGAATATGTCTGATTTTCAAATAATCTGTTCACACACTGAAAGGGATTTGCACAGATTTTTCACGATTTTTGTATAATTAAACTGTTAAAATGTGAACAGTCATTCAGAGTGGACTGGTGTGAAATGTTCTGTTCTGAAAAATTATTCATAGTGGTGGTGATAGGAACCAGACATCCACCTCTAAAAGCTCCCTCACAGAAAGTTATTACATGAAATGGTTATGAATACACTGCCTGCCTGAGAGTCTCAGATGTTTTTTTTTTATTTTAAATAAATCCATGACAAATGGATACATACAGAAATTGTGAGGCAAAATAGTCCCCAATGAAAACTTTTTTTTTCAGATTTTCCACTATTTTACCATCATCAACATTACATATAAAAACTTAGAAGATATGTGTAGTTTCACTGCTGGTTTCAGATAGTAAATAAAATTGCCACTATGATTTTGTTTACATCTCAACCACTGAATAATGCAGAAATTTTGTAAAATCAGTGGAATTCTTCTTCATATTTTATGTTGTGTAGTGGAAATAGTATTTGACTTTTACTGAAGCATTAAAAAAGGTATAACAAAGTACTTAATTTAAAACATCTAGTTATCTTTTGTTAAATGTTTATACTAATCAATGCTTACAAGCTTTTTGAAATGGAAATGCATTCACTGACTTCACATTGGTTTTCTGTGAAGGTGGTTTCCCATGACAGTATTCTCTGGACCAGCTTGACTAAAGGTGGGCAAACCAACAAGCAGTTCATCGTAAAGAACCCAGCTAAAGTCCTGCAATGGTGGTTGAACTGGGTGCCATTGTCCTGTGTCTCTGAGGAGAGTTTGATAATCACTGATTATCTAATGTGCCAGAAGACATTTCTACTGTCCAAAATGTGCTCCAGCTCCCCTTATTATATCACTGTGCTTGGCCCATAAAAGTCCTACTGGATGAGACAGCTGTGGGTTGATATTTCTTTTGCTGTCTGCCTCATCTGTACACCTCTGGCATAACATATTTATAAATGTGATTTAATTCCTTTTTTTAAACCCTTCAGAATTTTATTTTTGTGCATACACATACTAGCTTGTATTTGAATTGTATATCTAATTGATCCTGTTTAGTGTTCATCTATTTAAGATGGGGAATGGTGACACAAATGACTTGCACTATGCATTGAGAATATTTAACCTGTACAAATCTTGCACTGTGTTGCCCCCTTGTGGCTAAAGTATGCCAAATACATTAAACACTACTTTGCAATTCTTTAATAAAGTATTGTATCACAGGACATCAGCAACTCCAAGCATATTTTAGTGTCTAACAATCCATACTGCTTTGTTTTTCATTATTGTGAAAGTTAAAAAACTGCATCATGAAATCATTACTGAACACCAGCTAAATTATTCCTACCAAAAAGGGTCTGACCATAAAGTACTCAAGATCAAATGGTGATTAATCATGCTTCATGATCAGCAGTATTCTACTTCCTCCCAGTGTAACAATATTAAAATACACAGACATAATATAAACTTATGACTCTTCACCTTTTCTGATGCAAGCTGTCACACAAACCATAACACGCAGTGTCCAAAAACTCAAAGCCACTGTTTCATTGAGGCTAAGCACTACTAGCTGACATTCAGCACCAACTGCACTGCTGAATTTGTCTACAGAAGTGTGCCATTCAGCATTTTGCCATTACTATGTTAAATTAAAGCCCTACTAAAACCACAGAAAGCTGCAGTTATTTTACACAAAGTGTAGCTAAAATTACACTAATACCTGAAACCTAATATCATTCAATCATGTATAACCAAACTTGACTTTTATGGGCACGTTCACCGCAACACATTCTATGTAGTACAGCAGTGCTCTGTACTGTATCTGCCAAAGTGCAGTGGCATTCAGTGTATCATCCATTCAACAAAACCACACAACACAGGATAATCAAATTTACACATTTTATTGACTCTGCATGTGCGCAGGAGTTTTAAACACTCTCCTGAATGGGGGGCTCGTATCCATCAGCTCTCTCCACCTTGGCCCCAGTGTCGCCCTCTGCTGGCTTAGCGGAGCTGGTGCCTCCCTCACCGTGCAGCTCCATCAGCTTACCCACTGCGTAATAAACACAGGTATGTCATTTCAACACTGCATGCAGACATTCCTTCAGAGTTTAGTTGAGAGTCTGACCTATTAAGTATCTTTAGCAGGCCTCAATATGCTAGGGTCTCTTCAGAACTAAAGTCAGGAACTAAACTGGAAAGTCTAAAGGGATTGTTGGGATCGAGCTTTTGCCAAAGAGGTCCCCTACATTACATCATACATGTCTAACAAACAGGGCAATCACAATCTGTTGAAGTGCGGAAACTTACACTCAAACTTGGGTTTCTTCAGCATCTTTACTTTCCTGACGTAGACGTCATGCAGGGGATAGATGGACTGGCAGGCCTTCTCAATGTCCTTTCCAATACTGTCAGGGATCCTGTACAACAGAGAAATTATACAACTCTTAGCACATCACCACTAGATTGATGATGGGGAACAATACAGCGAGTACATCGGAAATGAAAAATGTTTCTTTGCTCTTTATGTATCTGGGTCAAGCAAACAAAATAAAAGAATTTAGCAATTACAATGTTTAAGACAGATGTAATAAAACTAAAAGAGCGTACATGTCATCAACTGTAACATTTATTTAGTTTACACATTTCAGCCTAGTATCAATGTTGGCTTTTCAATTTAGTCCAAGACTAGGTCTAATCCATGTCCAGGAATCCAGCTCTGCAAGTACTAGAAAGCATCAGCTTACCCCAATATCAAGACTGGGCCCCACCATAAAAACATACAAGTCGGTGCAGCTACAACTTGCAGATGATAAAAGCTAAAGGGGATGATGCAGACATTACTGTACTTCCTCTGGTGCTCTGCAGAGCCATGAAAGCGGCTGCTCATGTAGATACAAGTCATCAATAGCAGCAGATTAGTTTTTCAGACAATTTGTTTCAGCCAACATTTGAAATATGTATGCATTCACTCCAGAAGAACAGAACGATTGTGATGCTGAGCTACTGCGCTAAGTCACCTGCAATTTTTTCAATTTTCAGTGTTTCAGCTAATTATTGCTGCTGCTGCTGCTTCGGAGTCTGCAGAGGACTTTTAATTTGAAACAGCAGTTATAGGAAGTGGACAAACATTGGGGGGCGGGAGTACTGTTTCATGCATGTATAATCACCTACATTTTAAAAAATTCAGCAGAATACTAATCCAGGTGGAGTTTCTATATTTTATAAACGTTTCTCTATCCGCACCAGCTGATGTGTACATGAACAAAATCAGCATTCTACAATAGTAACACTCAAACTGTTGTCACCGCAGTCATATTGATGTATTGCAACACATTTTTATACACCCTCTAGAAACAGCACTTACAGTTTGTTGACCACCTCCTTCAAGTCATTGGTCTGGACCTCACGGGTCATGATTTCCATCATCTTCTTACGGATCTGGCGGACCTGCTGGTGCTGAGCGTACGAGGTCTTCCTAATCTGATTGGTGCGCTTCTTGGTGAAGCCAACGCAGAACAGACGCAACAGGTAACCGTCAGTGGTCTTCACATCCACATGAGCCTCAATCATAGTCTGGAGAGAGAAACAGAGAGGAATTAGCAATGCACAGCACACCTCATGTAAGGGGAAGTCATAACCTTAAACAATGACAATGACAAATGTACATGACAGCAGTTGTGTTAAGGCCTAAATTGACTTAACGATAAAAAAGTACAAACAAAACTCAGGCTTTAGAGTGGTTGCTACTGTTTTCAGCTATACTAATGTGCATGTCTATAGACAGCGTGTCAGCAGCAAACCACAAAATCAAGTTTGATGTTTGAGGCAAGTGCCACGGTTTAGGCATGCAGCTACCCCCTTGCTAACTGATGGACTGTAAGCTTCCATCACTTGCAAGCTACATCTGCCTTGCAGCTCCACTGCTAAAACTACTGAATAAACTTTATAATAATAATTATAATAATAATAAATTTTACTGAGCACCTTTCATACACAAAAGCAGTTAAAGCACTTTGCAAAGAGTAAACCTAAGAAATAAAAGCAATGACAAAAAAAGTAAGAATTAATAGCTAAACAGAAAGGAGTGAACAGAACATTTTGAAGCGTTAAGTGGCCCATATACTAGATGTTTCTTGCATTTTACCTGCCCCTCCTGAACTCCTTATGCTTTTGTGCATTTATTTTCCAAAAATGGTCATATTCATTTTTACAGCTTTGCTATCCTTTAAAATTAAACAGGCAGTTTCATCACTGCGTCTTTAAAAACAACATTTTAATGATAACTGCTGTGCTCAGCAGTTCTGTACTGTACCTTAAAAGCTACCCAGGCATTCCTGATAACTTCAGTATGACTGGGTGGACCTGAACTTATGAAAGGTGGATATGTACAGGTTTTGTTCTCCTGACGTCACAAAAATACTGTATGCCAATCAGGCCATTTTCTGCAGTTTTAGCGTCCATATACAGGCTGTACTGACTACATACTACATTAAACTCTTACTTTAAACAAAAAAGTGAGGAAGATTTGGTTTTCCACAATGTGGGAGAGTGAACTCAAATCAAGTGGACAGGGTGCACGTTAGCTGCCCTACCTGCCACTTCTTGACCATGGAGCACATCTTGTCGCGGGTCAGGTCCATCCCATGGAAGTTGGTCAGGCAGTTCTTCCCCTGCACGTCCTCAGTGATCAGCTTGAACTTGCGGAAGGCAACCTCATCGTTCTGCAAATCAGCAAGGCTCACCTCGAACACACGGCCTTTCAGACCATCAGACGCAATTCCTAAAAGAAAAGAAGACAGCACCTTTCTGGTCAGTCTCACCAGGAGCTTCCAGAATAAAGAGCACTACTGAATAAACTGTGGGAATATCAGTAGATCTCTTGAAAATAATCACTGCTCTTCATCTGGGACCAAAACTGTTGTCATCATGTATTCCCAAGTAGTCATTCATGAACAAGGTAAGTTTGTTAAAGCAGGAAACACAATCAAAAGGTTTTAAATCAGGGTTACATAATTCCAGGGTGTTTCACAACAATCTTCACAGACAAATAACCTAAGCCAACATAAGGCCTGTCCCAAAAGGAATGTAGCAGAGCTTACGTCCTTTCCTTGTCATGACCACTTGCAAAAGTTTTGTAAGGGACACAAGCTCAATTACAAGGTCCTTTACCATTTCTATTGCATGGTGTCCAAACATGAAAAGAAAATCTATAGATATGATTTATTTTAAGTATTTAAGATGTGGCACTTGTAGTACACTTTCACATCTGGGAAAAGCAGAAATACATTACAAAATGTAGAGAGCAGATGGCAGTTTCAAAATACATAAAATCAAGACAAAAACTAGGATAAAAGGTCTTGTTCTGGCAGCAACAATACATGGAAGACCAACTAAATAAGACTGAATGTCCCATCTTTTGCACAGACTTAATCTTGGTCTTATGCTATAAGGTTAAGTGAAGAAATCCTGCTTTGAAGGATTTCTCAGATTTTTATAACTAGTTTCAATACTCACTGGTTCCCTGAGTCCTAGTGACCAAAGTCTTGCCCAGGTTGCGGATGTTGAACATGGCCGGTGCTTTGACATCATACCAGTCCTTTTTGGAGAAGGGATCAACACTGCAAAAGAGCAAAACAGAAGTTGAATCATTGGCAATCACAACTGAAGTTCAATGAGAAGGAATCAGCGCCACAAAAATAAACAGTGATCCCAGATCTGTTTTACAACCAAATTCTGGATTACAGGTTTAACCAGCAAAAGGTGGCGTTTAGAGGACTACAGTCATGATACACTGATCTAACAAGCAATGCCACAATGACAGTTCTTTTTGGAGAACAGATCAACAATGTTAAAAAGAAACGCAACAATCTTACACCCCACATTTTCAACCAAAACTTTGTAGTGAAGAAATCAACACTGTAAGAAGTGGTATAGAGAACGTTAACTGTTCTCCACTGAATAAACGGTCATTGAGAAAGAACCACCACTTTTGCAAACACGTTTCTTGGTGGAGAAAAGGCTGAACACTGCTCAAGTGGTATTTGGAGCACTTCAGCCATGACACGTTGATCTAACAATCACAATCAGTCATATTAGTCATAGTGAACAAATTAATACTGCAGAGGTGAAATTTAATCAAGACATACTGCGGTCATATCTTACAATCAGTCATTTTTGAAGAAAGGTTCAAAACTAAAAAAGTAGTAGAGGAATTTAACCATGACGCATTGGTCTTCTAATCACAACCCCGGTACTAAAACGCCAACACCTAAAGCCTTTCTCGGAGAAGCGACTAAATAAAGCGAAATTTAACCAACAAGCACCGACCTCACAGATCCACTAACATGCCCTAGAAGAAACTTTCCACGCTGAATGGAGACCCATCACTGCATCTACTACACATGAAGGAAGTCCAGGACAGGACAAGTAGCCAAGTTAGCCGTCTTAGCTCAGGCCTTTAGATGCAATATAAGAACAGCTGCTCTTAACGACTGAACACCCCAATTTTATGTACACAGACAAGCACAAATGCTCATTTTCCTGCCCGTTTCTACGAACGCTACACCCGGATAACTAGCACCGGGCTGTAGCGCCACAGCGCTCCGTTCACAATCTCCCGATTATCCGCTCCATCCATCCGTTTAATAACCCAAAAACAGCCCCGTAGTATTTAATAAACCATTTCAAAGCAGTCTGGGCGTAAATTATTCGACTTACATCTTCTTCTTGGCCCCTTTTTTGCCTCCTTTGGTGAGTCTCTTGTTCTTACCGACCGCCATGATGAACGCAGGGAGCGAAAGAGGGTGAGATACGCAACTATCGCGAGACTTAAGGGCCAGAGTGGGAGAAGTGCGACATATCGCGAGATTGGTGCAACCTCAACGTCCAACTGCGCCACCGGGTGGTGGCGGTTTGGAAGTGACCGCAAAGCCGCTTCGATTGCTTAAACTGACGTTTCAACAATGTTTCACGTTTTTCTTTACATTTTAAACGATGTAACGAGATAAAAAAAACGCTCACTGAGTTAAGAACAAAAAACTTTAATAGTTTTTAAAACAAAGGATACAACAAGATGAACATTAATCAATCAATTAATAAATTAATTTTGTTTTGTATTTATTTTTTCACTTTTTATTAAAATTATTAGGTAAAGGTATATGGCTGTATACAAGGTAGTTATGCACAACGATATAGGCATCATAATCAGCATCAGCAGATGCTTAAAATCAGCATTGGACAGATGTTCATATTTCAAACTCACATTTGATTATTTATTTGTTGAACTCCAGAAGAGCAGGATGTTAAGATGATGCTGGGTTAATGCACTAAAATATCCGCATTTTTCATTTTATTAAAGCCCAGGCTGACATGGGGAGAACATGCAAACTTCACACAGAAAGGACCCTGGTCGCCCTGCCAGGGATCCAAACCCAGGGCTTTCTTGCTATGCTCTGTCCCACATGCCACCCCTTAAATAATGAAAAATAATACAAAAATTATATTTCTCTGTAATACTAATTCAGGTAGATTTAGTCCAAACTGACAAATAAATGTATTATTTTTTGTTATTTAATAAATTAATAAATGTTTATGTTTCAGCATGGGCTCATACGGACAAGAAAAATATCAGATATCAGCATCGGCCCACAATTCCCATATTGATGCATCCTGCTAAAAAGCCTGTCCAACTCCTTGACACCTGATATAGTGCACCGTATGTATTTGCATAAATACACATAACCGGTACTTGATCACACTTTAGGCTGTAGGCTACTGCTGAATTTAGTGTATTTACCTTTGGTACTGTGTTGTTATTTGTAACAGTTACACTGAGCCCCGTCCTTACCTCTCTCTGAATACCACCTACAGTTTGTTTATTGTGTAAAGATACTCGCACCGCCGGCAGTCAAACAGGTCAGTCAAGCTGTGTGAGTGTGGGTTTCAGAGCTCAGAAAGTCCAGCATGGTCACCATAGAGCTACATTTCAAACATATACACATTTTAAAGTGCTTCACATAATCTCTGTGCTGTTGTTGAATGTCTCTTAAGTTTATAATATAAAATAAGGGTGAACTAGAGTCGATCAGAGTCGAGCCCAGAAGTCCAAAGAAATTGTGCACGCCTAAACCATCACATACTTTCCTCAGATTGTGCAGAGTTGTTAAGTAATCTCTAATATACTTGATTATGTGGTGTCTGACAGTGAATGACATACATTACATGGCCAAGAGTATGTGGACACCTGCATCACACCTAAATGAGCTTGTTGGAAATCCCATTCCAAAATCATAGGCATATAAAGTAATATGGAGTTTGCAGCCCTTTGCAGCTGTAACAGCCTCCACTCTTCTGTAAAGGCTTTCCACAAGATTTTGGAGTTTGTCTGTTGGAATTTGTGCCCATTTAGTCAAAAGAGCATTTCTGGGGTCAGGCAATGATGTTGAATGAGAAGGCCTTGTTCGCTATAGGTATCGTTCTCCAGGTGTCCACCAAACCCAGATTTGTCCATTAGATTACCAGATAGTGAAGTTTAGAGGACATGGTTCCACTGCTCCATAGTCCAGTGGCTACATGCTTGATACCACTCCCGCCGACGCTGAGCATTGCACATAATGATCTTAGACATGTGAAGCTGCTCGGTCATTGAAACCTTTTTCATGAAGCAGTTCTTGTGCTGATGTTGCTTCCAGAGAAAGTTTTGAATTCTGTAGTGAGTGATGCAATAGAGGATAGGTGATTTTTACACACTACTAGTTTCAGCACGTGGCGGACATGGAAAGGCTCTCAGTTGAAGAAGATAGAGCCTGAAAGAGGACGTCACACCAAGACTCAGCAGCAGAGCCTCTTTGTACCACAGTACAATGGTGAAGGCCCCTGGGAGCCTTTCTCCACACTGCTGCAAATGGTCGCACAGCATTATGGCTGGTTTCAGCTATGCTTGGCTCTGCAAGCAGCACGGCACCCTAGTGTTGCCCAACTGAAGTCTATCACTGGCAGCATGAGAGGTAAGAAGTGGCTCTTGGTTGTGGTGAGGGGCCTTTTCTGTTTGCACAAGTTCTAGCTTGCACCTCTACAAGAATGTGCATTCTCAGTCTGGACTTCCTTGCGGCAGCTGGGTCCATGTTAGACCCGAGGAGGGAAACGCTGGACTTGCAGACAGGACAAGTGAAGCTGCTTGCAGTGGCTATTGGCAGAGCCAAGGCAGAGAGTCGGAGCCCAAGCATGTGCTAGCAGTGCACTCACCTCACCTCAATAAAGCGGTGGATGGCTGAGAGGAGAATTGTTGCAGTTGTCTTTGTCCCTAATAGTGCCGGACTTGACATGAAGAGCTGTGAGTAGTCCTGCTACACACAGGAGGAGGACACAGAGTGCAGATGGAGAAGACATGTATATGAACTGGAATGTGGCTGCCAGCCAGGGTCAGAGAAGGACAGTGTGCCTGGCGCTGGGGAGCCACTGGGGCAAGGACACGGCCCTGAGAGATAACCAGGTGTGGCTGTCCTACTTATGACACCAGTGTGGCATTGGCACTGGCCAGGACTCCTGTGCAAGGAGTGCACCCAGAGACTTTGTTCAGTAGGCGTGTGGGTAGCTAGGATGGCTGACCCTTTTGGGTGAGAACACATTTCTGAAGTCCAAAATTCATGCCAAACTCAGATATAACTGAACAAAAAAGAGCTACAGGTTATTTAAGTTATGACACTACAGGTTATGAAGGTGTTATATTTTAATCTTGTAACCGTGCAGTGAACATAACAATATCATAACAATAGATTTTCTTCTGACAACAGAGATATGCTTATTATTATTATTATTATTATTATTATTATTATTGCCAATGTTAGCTATCTATCTGTCAACAGAAACCTGAACCTGCTGGAGAGAGATACTTTAGTCAGATGACTCTATTCACAGTCTACACCAATAACTCCAGCTAACAAAGTCATTTCATTTCAGCTTTTTAATTTTGTTTAGTCAACACCATGAAGTGTTTGCAATTCCATGGCAAAGTTTAATGTAAAAATGCTTTAATTTGCTTAACGAAAAAGCACTGTGATAATGCCCATTTCTGTTAGTGACCTGGTATGTTCACCACAGTATGTTAGCGCCCAGCTAGCAGGGTTAGCTCTGTACTGTGTTGGATTTTGAGGTCAGCTCTTGTTTAAATACAGATATTTTGAGCTCATAACAGGAATGCAAGTAACATATTCTGGACTTTGTATGTCTCAGTTTTGAGTAACTCCTTCTGTTTAGGCTTAAACTCTTTCATTGTTGGATCGTTAGCCTGTTAGCCAGTTAGCTTTCTGCTGACCTGCTCAGCCTGCTCAAATGAGGGCAGAAAATCCAGTTCTAAAGAGTAAACCAGTTGTAAACAAGTTAAACAGAGCCTATTAGAAGGCACCAGTGATGTTCAACTGGCAGTTTGTCTGGCAAAAATTTCAGTAACAATTCAGTTTTTTCAAGCAGTGATTATAAAGCCACATTGTCTTCTGAAGCTCTATGCTTTTTCATGCTAGTAAGATTCTTGTTCTTGTCGTGCTTTCATCTTCACTTGGCCGTAGTGACCCGTGCAAACTGCGAATTGTTTCATAATGTCTTAGAGACAATTAATGAGACATGAAATAATAACCAGATAAAGTAAGCACACTTTCATTTACTTTGCTAAAACAATAATATACCACACTTCCCTTCCTTACTGGATATTTTGGTCATAATCTCGACAGTGGCCATGTGAAAAATATGGTGTATAGCCTTAATTCTCTCTTTGCTCAGGTTTTTGAGGTCAGATGGCCAACACCACGGCAACGGCACCGGGGGCCTTTTGCCCAGGGAGTTTGTGATCACAGGCACACTCACTGACAGCGCTCTGGGGAACCAGAGAGCAAACTCCCTTTATAACAAATCACAAACATGTAGGTGATTGTTCCTTGAAATAAACCTATTAGATAATTTTATTATCATACATTATTGTTACATGTTATAGTGTTTTATTGTACATTACACAAACCCAATTCCGAAAGAGATATGAGAGTTGGAAAAATGTAAATAGAAACAGACAGCAATAATTTGCAAATCCTTTTTTAACTGTATTCAATTGAAAAGAGTACAAAGAGAGGATATTTAATGTTTCAACTAATTAATTTTTGTTATATATCTATATATACATATGTACGTATGTACATATATATGTACATAGAGGCAGACCAGTCTATTGCCTGCCATTGCCATGCTGTTGTAACACATGCAGAACGTGGCTTGGCATTGTTTTGCTGAAGCAAGCAGGGACATTCCTGAAAAAGACATTGTCTAGATGGCAGTATATGTTGCCCCAAAATGCACATGTACCTCTCAGCATTAATGGTGTATTCACACATGTGCACAGAAGTTACCCATTAACACAACCCCATATCATGACAGACTTTTAAACTTTACACTGGTAAAATCTGGACGGTCCTTTTCCTCTTTGGCCCAGAGAACACAGCGTCCATTATTTCTAAAAATAATCTGAGAGAACTCATCAGACCACAATACATGTTTCTACTCTGCATCAGTCCATCTCAGATGAGCTTTAGCCCAGATTAGTCAGTGATTTTTTATTGTTATTGTCTTCTTTGAGCTTGTTTTTATTTTGTTCATTTAATTTGTTTGATTTATTTTAGTTCATTAAGTTTCGTTTTTTTTCAATCCCTGTTTAACTTGCTTGGCTACACTGTAAATGAGGGTCATTCACAATGTTGATTGAAAAGTTGATTGATTATTTTCTGACATCACAAAAATGGTGAATTTAAAACAGGCTTTTTAGCAGTTTGGTTTCCACATCCATATGTGGACTGTGTATACTGGGGAGTG